GGGGGGGGGGGGGGGGAGGGGGGGGGAACGGATGTCAAAAAAAGATCTTTCTCACCCACTAAAAGTCAAGCATGGCATTTGAAAACTTGTTTGACGAACTGTGGGATATATAGTATTTTTGTCATATGTATGTAGTTCCCAGACTTAACTCGCCAGCCCCCCCCCCCCAGAGAGCTCTGTTATCCATGCTATGTTTGTGTGGTGGTTTGTTAGACAAAAGGGAGCTGAAAGTCAGGCCTGGGAATCAGTGGGAGGGGCGTTCCGGCCCAAGCGGGGGATCCCACTCGTCAGGCCATGTCAGATGGCGGAGAAACGACAGCTTTCACTGTAACGAGTGACCCATCTGTCATATTTAGCATTAAATTATTAGTCTTGTAGCCCTGAGCAACCGTTTAACAAGAGTTAGCGAGCAGAAAATAATTTCCGAACCATGGTGGCGTTTTCAGGCAATTACAGAAATACTGGGTGTGAATCGGGCAGTAAAATATTCCTGCGCCGCGTAAACGCTACGTACGTCTTTCCCGATTCCAACCAAACGTGGTTTTCAAGGCTTCGCATTTTGCCCGGGACATGTAACGGGAACACGACGTGAAAATCATCATGGTGGAGTGATAGAGTGACCCACTTCCCCGCCATTCCCGGGGACGTAGGACTTTTACATAAGCCGTGTTTTTGGGGCAGTTACCCAAGCGTGTTGGGTGGGTGGGTGCGGTGCCACACGCTGGTCCAACAAAGGATTGGAGAGGGATAACGGCTCACAAAAACGTCTCAGGAATCATGCCTGGCGGCCTCATCCTTCAATCGAGCCCTGGTTTAGATTCGGCCCAATTTCCAAAACTTTTCATTTTAAAATTTGTTCTGAGGAATAACGCTTTGGTGCCTTATTTGTGGGATTCCAAGTGTAAAATAAATAGCACAGTGATACTTTATTGGTCCCCATGGGGAAATTCTCTTTTCTTCTACCCCATCTTGCTCCCCATGAGACACACAGACGCATATGCAGGTGAGAGCAGGTTTGAGGGTCGCAGTGCAGGGTCAGCCAGCATGCAGCGACCATGGAGATGGGGGTTAAGGGTCTTGCTTGAGGACCCAATGGCCACATCAGCCTGCCAGCCCAGGGATTCGAACCAAAACCTTTTCATCAAAGGACACTAACCTGCTAAGCCAGTCATGTAACAGACCTGTAGAAGTTAGTGTTGACAGAGTATATCATTATATATAGTTAATAATTACTTTTAAAATTCCTTACAGGGACTTAAGGCTGCTGACAATGACCCCACAGCCCCGCCCTACGATTCCCTGTTGGTGTTCGACTACGAGGGCAGTGGGTCCACGGCAGGATCCCTGAGCTCCCTCAATTCTTCGAGCAGTGGGGGCGACCAGGACTACGATTACCTCAACGACTGGGGGCCGCGCTTCAGAAAGCTGGCCGACATGTATGGCGGGAATGACGACTAGCAAGGAACACGGCAGGCAAAGGGGAAAAAAATCAATGGTGAAAATAATAATGAATCAAAAAATAAAAAGAAGAAAAAACGTGACATATTTTCTTTTTTGTGGGACGTGGACTCTTAAAACCGAATATTCCCGAACGAGTGCTCGAGCAGCAGTGGGTAAAAGGATACGAGAGTGAAGCTAGCTAAATATTGTCGTCTTCTCACGCGTTCGCTTGTTGAAGGCTTTTGCCCAGGCCACTGTCTGGCTCCAGGGTCAAAGGCTGCACCAGAGGACTGTCGGTTCGGTGTTAAGATCGCCCAGTTACACTTGAATTACACAGTACAGAAGCACTGGGATTTAACGTGCCTTTTTGTACATTTTTGGATCCGAATGATTAGTTTTATGTTTGAGGCTTTAAGGGTACTGACTTTTTTTTTTTTCGGTGATTTCCAAAACGTGTTCAATTGTTCGCTCCACATGCTGTTTTTGGTTAAAGTCGCGAAGTTGAAATGTTCGTTGGCGACAGTTATTTCAGATCATTATGCGCAGTCAGAGACCAACAAAAGAGAGGTTCGGCAACAAAAAAAATCTAGACAATGTACAGTTCACTTCATTAATATTTTCTTTTTTTTCCAGCGAAAAAAAATAAGCAGATGTTTGCAAATTAAGGGAGTCATGAATGCTAATTTTGTAGAGGAATAACTGTTTCTTTTCTGGAGTGGTGTAGTATTTTACACAAGTGTTTATTTTGTTCCGATATACTTCAGTCATCCTATGTGTTTTTTTTTTTATTTCACCTTCTGTAAAAATGTGTGTACATACTTTTTTTCTTTTTTTGTCATTGACTTCAAAGGAGTGCATAAAGTTCAAAACTTGTATATGTATAATTTGGACTACAGAAGAAAGTTTTTGCATGTTTCTATCTTTTCACTATAAAAACGTATTTCCAAAATTTATTTACAAAAAAAAAAACACAAAAAGGACATTAGACGACTGGGTACATGTATCGAGTACAATGTATGAGATTTTTTTTGTAAAAAAATTACAAAAAATAAAAATAAAATAAATAAAAAGGCAAAATTAAACAACACACAAACACAGCCGTTTGGATTTGTACTGAGATATGCGTCGTGGAACTGTTGGCGCTAATGTCTGAAAGAGCTTTAAGGCTGAGATGCTTTTGTCAGTGGTCTTTTGGACAGTATGAAAAAGATTATACGTCTCTGACCCCGACCATCTGAATAATGCAAAAAGTCTTAATTGCTGAATAATGCAATTTTGCAGCTACCAGCGGTATATTTATGCGTCTGAATCAACTCAAAGGAACAAAAAAAATATATTTTCTCACAGTGCCTGAAGCATTTCTTGGATGGAACTTTATTTTTCTTTTTTTCTACTTTCTTTTCGATTAAAACCGGGGGTGGAGAGATTTGAGCAGCCCCCGTGTGACTGTGACATCCCTTTACTCGTTCTGAATTGTTGTAGGTGTGTTGATTTCCAGCAGCGTTGTGTCCCGGAATGGAGAGTGAGCCGACTGGTGGGAATGCAATCCAGTCAAAACCCAGTGAGTGTATTTTCACATAACATTTGTTTTGGTCACCTAACTGCTCTCAGGGTCCACAGTTAAATGAACCGGAACGTCTATCATTCCCTTCTGACCACATCCCCTTTCTGTTACCCAACAGGGTGGTCCAATCCATGTGAATTTCCTCCAAAAAAATCCCTGGGGTGAACACTAAAAACCCCCTTAGAGTTGTTCGTCCTTCTGCCATGTTGCTAAGTGAAACAGAGCAGGACTGGCATAAACCTCAGCAAAGAGCAACAACCCCCCTAGCATTTGAAAAGCTAACGTTGACGCACAGAGCAGACGTATGTCACATATAAAGGGACAGAAAGTTCAATGGCCATATCATCTGATCTGTAATAACATTTGTCTTCAATGAGTGGAATTCAACCAGTATATTTTCACTGAGGGAGATTTTATTGTGTCCTTTGTGAAGCCAGTCTAATTAATATTCTGTCAGGACCCACATTGTCATCACTGGCCTTCTCATAAAAACCTTCTATTAATTGTATGTTTCAGGTTTTTTTTTTTTTAATCACTCCCACCTTTTTTTTTTCGCTGCGAAATCTGCCAGTTACTCTGTGTGCCGTGTGGGGATTTGTCCCAGTCATTTACGGCGAATGAAAATATAGCTCTCCGCTAATTTAATTAGCATCAGAGAACATTTGTGAAGTAATGTTCTACTCTCTGAAATTGGATTTCTAAATGAAAGTTAGCGACTCAGAGCACTGAAAATCGGTCCCCAGACTGAGTGACCGATTTTCCTCCCCACTTCCTTGTCAAACACCCATGTTTTATAATTAGTAAAAAAAAAAAAATACTTACACTTTCACACGTGTAGTTGGTCACAGACTTTAAGACACTCATGATTTTATGGACAGTTTGCACCAGGCATCTAGTAGGAGAATCCTAACACACTAAGATGGACCGCCTCTCTCATATCCATGTGAGACCACATAAAACGCACTGTAGCTCAGAACAAACATTATTAGCTGACATAAAAGGAAAATTACACACAAAGCCCCAGTTAAGACCACTGTTTTCATGACCTCCAGGAACAGGAACCGAAAGAAACCTTGGAGGTTAATTTTTAATCATGGATGGAGCTCCATTTGAAAGCAGCTGTCAGTACTTTTTGACCTTTGAAGGTCTAGCACTTGACCACCACTCAAGGGGGGGGGGGGGTTACAGGTTTTGCTGGCCAGACTCTGGCTGCTGGATTGATTCCCCTTACAGGGTTCCGGTCACACGCCTTCTGGCGTCCAGGTGCCCATCGAGTCTCACACTCCATGGAAACAGGCCTCTTGTAACCATGGCAACCAGCTGACCCCCCCATCCACACGGTTACCGGGGCTGAGCATTTGGGTCACACCCACCTGACCACCTCTGTCTGCCACCAGCATAATAGAACCTTACTGACGCTAAACAAATATCTTCATTTGGCTGGGGGACGGTGATATTTATTCATGCTTGTGCTTATTTTAAAAATAATTAAACCATTCAAGTGATAATCACTGCTGGGAAATAGCAGCAAACAATACAGTTTCAAGAACAGTGTGTACAAGCCAAAGGCCAGGGAAATACATTACCATTGTGGAGACAATTACAGTGCTAAGTTTAATTGACAAAGTGTCACGTCCTGGAAAGTGCCAGAACAAGGCAAAGGTCAAACATAAAGCCTTTCTGACCCTGATCCTTTCAGCAAATGTGTAATTATCAGTCTTTGGTGATAAAACCACTAGAATCACACACTCACACTTTCAGACTCACGCTCACACAAGAAATCTAACAGCAAATCTATATTATTCCATTATAAGCTTAAAATTAGCTACATCAAAACCCTTGGGGTAGTTTTCAAAACCTACAGACTAATTTCAAGGTAATAAAACTGTTACATACATGTAAATGTGAGTACAGACGTGTCTTGAATTGAAAATTTCACTCCAGCCAGCTGACCAAAGTTGGCAACCCCGGAATCAAATACATACAGACATGCACCATATCTCTATTTCTGCATTAAGATAATTGCTTAGAAAGAAAAAGAAATCCTTCATCGAGAAATAATTTATAACAAAAACACACGTGCCACGATTATCGGCACCCCTGCTTTTAATAGTTTGTACAACCTCCCTTCGCCAGTATAACAGCACTGACTCTTCTCCTATAACATTTTATAAGGTTGGAGAATACAGAGCAGGGCATCTGAGTCCATTCCTCTTTACAGAATCTCTCCAGATCATCAAGGGTCCTAAGCCCTCTCTTGTGCACTCTGCTCTTCAGCTCAGCCCACAGGTTTTCAGTGGGGTTCAGGTCAGGGGACTGAGATGGCCATGGCAGAAGCTTGATTTTGTGGTCAGCGAAAATATTTTTGTGTTGATTTGGACATGTGCTTAGGATCACTGTCCTGCTGGAAGATCCAATGATGGCCCAGTTGTGGTTTCCTGGCAGAGGCAGCCAAATTTTGATTTTGGTACTTCATGGAGTCCCATAATGCCAAGTCACCCTAACGAGGTTTCCAGGGCCTTTGGAGCAAAAACAGCCCCACAGCATCGCAGAACCTCCACCATATTTTGCATTTGGGATGAGGTTCATTTCATATATCCATCCTTCTTTTTACGCCAAACCCACCTTATGTTTATTGCCAAAAAGCTCAATTTTTGTTTCATCACACCATTAAATTTGGTCAACGTTGTAGTAGCGTTTCACAAACTCCAGGTGTTTACATTTGTGGTTAACTCACAAAAAAAGTCTTTTTTCTGGCATACCTTCCAAATAATCTGTTAGCAAGAAGGGAGCGTCTGATAGTTTGTTCAGAGACGTGGTAACCTCAAGATTTTACTTGGCCTTGTAATTCACCAGCAATCATCCTTGGGGATGTTTTTGCCTCTCTTATGATCCTCCTCACTGTATGTGGGGGAAAAATAAACTTGGGTCCTCTTCCAGGCAGATTTGTAACAGTTCCAGTTGTTGTCCACTTTTTTATTATTGCCCTAACAGTAGAAATGGGCATCTTAAGGTGAGTAGCTACTTTTTAATGCCCACTCCCTGACTTCAAGGTCAACACACTTCTCCCTCATTTGGTTTGTATGTTCTCTTACCTTTCCCATGTTGATGGATGACTAAGGGAATTTGGGCTCTGTGTCGCCTCATGTTCGTATCCCTGTTAACTAGGAAGTCATGGATTACAGCTTGAAGGTTCCTCTTCACTCCAATCAACTCAAATATGTACAATTTACAGGGGAAACATGCTTCAGTTACACTGTCTTCACTATAATTTCCATGGGTATCAATAATCTTGGCACATGTGTTTGGTAAAGACAATTATTTCTTGATGAAAGTTATTTATTTCTTGGAATAAATTTATGTTAATGAAAGGTTGGAGTTTTCTCAGTTTTTCAGTGTGACATGAAGCTGCTTCAAAAAAAGGTGGATTTTTTCTAACCCTTTTTACAAATCTTTACAAAGGGTGCCAATAATTGTGGAGGGCGCCGTATACACACACACACACACACACGTATATATACCTGCTTACAAAGAATGGTGTGCAAAGGGAAAAACATCCAGTATGCAGCAGTCCTGTGGGCGAAAATGCCTTGTTGATGCTAGAGGTCAGAGGAGAATGGGCCGACTGATTCAAGCTGATAGAACAGCAACTTTGACTGAAATAACCACTCGTTACAACCAAGGTATGCAGGAAAGCATTTGTGAAGCCACAACACGCACAACCTTGAGGCGGATGGGCTACAACAGCAGAAGACCCCACCGGGTACCACTCATCTCCACTACAAATAGGAAAAAGAGGCTACAATTTGCACGAGCTCACCAAAATTGGACAGTTGAAGACTGGGAAAATGTTGCCTGGTCTGATGAGTCTCGATTTCTGTTGAGACATTCAAATGGTAGAGTCAGAATTTGGCGTAAACAGAATGAGAACATGGATCCATCATGCCTTGTTACCACTGTGCAGGCTGGTGGTGGTGGTGGTGTAATGATGTGGGGGATGTTTTCTTGGCACACTTTAGGCCCCTTAGTGCCAATTGGGCATCGTTTAAATGCCACGGCCTACCTGAGCATTGTTTCTGACCATGTCCATCCCTTTATGACCACCATGTACCCATCCTCTGATGGCTACTTCCAGCAGGATAATGCACCAGGTCACAAAGCTCGAATCATTTCAAATTGGTTTCTTGTACATGACAATGAGTTCACTGTACTAAAATGGCCCCCACAGTCACCAGATCTCAACCCAATAGAGCATCTTTGGGATGTGGTGGAACGGGAGCTTCGTGCCCTGGATGTGCATCCCACAAATCTCCATCAACTGCAAGATGCTATCCTATCAATATGGGCTAACATTTCTAAAGAATGCTTTCAGCACCTTGTTGAATCAATGCCACGTAGAATTAAGGCAGTTCTGAAGGCGAAAGGGGGTCAAACACCGTATTAGTATGGTGTTCCTAATAATCCTTTAGGTGAGTGTATATATATATATATATATATATATATATATATATATATACATACACCAGTAAATATATACATTCTGCTTTTGTTACTTCCCTGTGAAGGCTTATTAAATTGATGTAGGCCTGATAGGAAATTTCCTACAAAATTATCCACAATATTATTTGCAGTGGAGATGCTAGAACATTTAAACTGGGGGGAATAAGGCCAGTTTTTCTGTTGGGGAGGCTAGATGCATTTGACCTTAATGTCCTCCAAGAATTACTTACACTAGATTGCCAGCATTAAGAAGCAAAAGACAATTTTGAAAACTGATGTTACTTGTGCAGCGCTTTGCAGTCACATTATACAGTTCTTACTAACGCTGATTTCTTGTTTAGACTGTCATGCTTCCACTGTTCCCCCAGAATCTACTCTGATTATTTTATGTCAACACAATTTAGTTTTACGTTTGCGTGTGTTACTTTTGATGCTATCAGGTACAAGTAGTCCAATATTAATGAAATACGGAACCGAAAGTCTAAAAGGTAGGCGTTGGGGAAATTGGCTGCGCGATAAATATTTTCACTGCCGGATGTGTCATGCTATGTCGTCACCGACGGGAAAAGAGAAAACAGCAACAATCACAGTAATGAGCTTAATTGAATAATGCTAATAAAATGTGGCAGCAGACACGTTCAGCAAATATGCCACATTATCTGGATCTCCGTGTTTTTTCATTGTTTTGCTCACAACGTTACTTGGGGGATGTTTTGCAGTAGAGATTTGTTTAGTCCTTGCTGTATTTTTGGCGCAAAGACAGCTTCGATAAAGAGCGAATGTCTTCCTTTCAAACTGGAACTAATTTTCCCCGTAATTGCAAAATTCAGCTCGCGATGCCGTCAAATTCATTTTGTTTCATATGGATCATTTCACATTGTTCTGCTAATTCACAGACAAGTGAATTGAATAATATCAATATTATGTTAATCCTCTGGAAATCAAGACAAATGTGTTTGTCCTGTCGTTGTTTACCAGTGCGGGCTCCACGTACAATGAAAAGCACGTTTACCAGACATGCTAATATTTACGGCTTGTGCAGTATACCATCAAATTGATGTCACATTTTTGTTTGTGTCTATTATTCAGTGAAGGGAAAATGGAAACAAGTACTTGGGTAATCGCTGACCTTATTTCTGTGGCATCATAATCATTGTACACCCTCTAGTTAAATTTACTTTGAGGTTTTGATTCTGGATTGTCGGCTTGTGATTCACGTCGGGTTTCCCGTCAGCAAAGCCTGAACTGGGAAGTTTGTTCAGCTGTTATTCACAGTCTGGTCTTACTGGAATGGCTCTTTGACGTGGCGGAAAAGACGCGTGCTTCCATTACCCAGACTGTCGCGTGAAATAAAAAACATCCCACGGAAAACAAAATCCGTTATCACAGAGGAAAAAAATAAAATTGTCAAAACAAGTAACTTCGTAAAGGGTGATCTCAGCAGAAATGGATTGCGGAAAGGTCACTTCCTATCGGGAAATGGAAAGTGTATCGCATTGCGATCCCTCGAAGAGGGATCGAGAGGTGCGTGTCAAAGCGGGCGGCTCATTCCATGCGTCGCTTCCCCCAGCGGAACCCGGAGCGGTCACGCTGTGCGTGGCCCTTGGGAAGCCCCGAGACACCGGCTTCCAGGGGGGTGGGCGGCAGAAATGTGCCGCATCAGCATCGCGGCTGTCTCTCTCCCAGTCGGCCAGCCACCAACCGGAGAAACCTGCGAGCTAGACGGGAGCAGCCCTCGACTGCGCTGCCTGCTATGAATCACACTGCTTCCAAGATGCGGTTTGTGTTTAATCTCCGCTCATCCAGTCAAATGTGGCCCACGCCTCCCCCCGGTTTTAGCAGGACTCCTCTAATGGGGGCTGCCCCATCGGCTCAGTGTCCTAGAGACGAGAGATTCCTATTGGCTCTTTTGATATCCTGCATAAAATGCAATGTGCCCCCCTATGCCGTGCTTCAATTTTGCCCCATGGATTAGGCCTACCCAGGAGACATCAGATACAGCGCTGCGCTGAGCTTACTGGGTCGGAGTATAGGGTTTAGGGTAAAAATATGAAACTATGTCTGGAGTATAAGTGCTGTGCTTCTGTACAAGTTTTACATTAATTTACTTAACAGATGATTTTGTCCACATTACCAGACATTCAAATCAGAACACAGTAAGGGCTGTATATCCTGGGATGCACAGAAAAGCGATACTACGTGCGGCAATCTACTGTTCTAACAGAGCACATGCACACTCATTTTATGTGCCTTTGCGCTGATATAACACGACATAATCGTGCATTTTAGCCTTTATAATTCGTACTTCATTTGCGGTATAAAGGTTAAAATGCACGGCAATTTCTTGTCATTGCAGCGGAAATGCAAATAAATACGCATTTGCTCTGTTACAACAATCGATTCCCGTACGTATCGCTTTCAAAGGTCATTGCGTATTTGCGTGCCAGTTATGTGCATCCCTGCTTATATCTAGACGTTATACGTACGTATGCTGATCGGCTGTTCTCCTTTGCTTGACGATTTGTGTCTATCATGTCTCCAAACATCAAGGGGTTTTACAGGCAGTTCTCGGATTCACGGATTGGGGGTAAACGTGATTAGCTAGCACCGGGCTCTGCGGAGTAAACCACATGGTCACGCACGCCGTTTAAGAGTGCGGTCGCGTGGCGGTAAAGGCCGTTACCCCGGTGACACATAGGCGGCCCTTTAGTGTCCGGTTCCCCCGGGAAACGAAAAACGAGAAAAGATGTTCCTCTCCTACGAGTGCTTCCCAAAATAACGCAGACCAAGTAACTCAAAGTCCTGCTTCCTATTACCACTGCTTTGTAATGTGGAAACCGACTACAGCTGAGTGCGTGAGCCCAGGTGAGATTACCCATAGTTAATAATAATAATGATAAATAATAATAATAATAATCCAGCCATCTGCTAACCACTTACCCTGCTCAGGGACACAGGGGGTCTGGAGCCTGTCCCAGGCAGCTGAAGACATGAGGATGGGGTCCATCCTGGATAGGAGCCCAGACCATTGCAGGTCAATAGTAGTAATAATAGTAACAGTCATAATAATAATTATGATAATCATAATAATAATGTTGGAATGAAAACAATTCCAGATATTATCAGGCAGTAAATTGTCCACCACATTTAAAATGGTGCATTTATACAACACGCATTTACTTGTCTAAGTGTAATTTAGCTTCTCTTTTGTGTTCTGCCTCAGCCTGGAGCCCAATTCGCACTCTGGGAGCTGTGTGAGCCAAGGGCATCATTTTCGTGGGTGCCTGGCCCTGAAACATAGAACCCCCCCCCCTCCCGCCCCCTCCACAAAACCAATGTCTCTCTGGCGAGCAGGACCAGTGGACACAAAGGCCAGCCGTGATGGATCAGCGCCTTGTAGATATCACGACGGTGCGTTCCGTTCATTGTCTTTATAAAAACAAAGGAAAAAGGAGCCAGCCACCAGGTCTGACCTCCTGTATGCTCGCCTCCTCGCCCATCATACCCTCTTGCCCGTGCAGATTGCCCCAGGGCCCGGAGGCTGTCTAGAAGCCTCCAATGAACCGCCAGACCATAAAGAAGGAGACGGGTCGCACCGAGATTAGCATCGAGCGCGGTGTGTTTTTCTTTCACCCAAGCGTGGCTTTTCGGGCTCGCCTGGGAAATGCGACATGCGATTTGGCTTTGAAATGTAAATGGCCCATGACTCTGGAAGGAAATCAAGCATGGTCTGGAAACAATAAAGCACAATTAAAATCTGAAATGTCTTCCCCTGTACTGAATAAGGGTCACATTTTTATAATAGAGATGCAAGTCAAAACCACATTTCAGGTTAAGTGCACAATAATAGTTTTTTTTTAATTAATAATTTATTAATAGGGTTGTAATTGAGTTAAATGCACTTCCTGGCTGCATTTAAATGACTTGATATTAATCAGAACAAACACTAACATTTAGTGCTTCCCTTTGGATTTCCAGGTGCTCCGTGTCTTTAACAATTCTCTCGTTTGGCTCAATAAGGAGACTGGATGTATCATACTTTGCCTTGGCTCCCTTTGTCGCCCCCTGGTTTGGGAGGTCTGCTTCACGAGTACTGCGCTGAACGATACTAAACAAATCAGTATGATACTGGCAATCAGCTGTATGTCCTGGCACAGTTGTGCACTGTGATAAACACACATAAGTACAGAGCATATTTCTACAGCAGCAATACAACAAATTAGCACCATTATAGTGCTAACAGGGTGTAATGTGTGGCTGGAGATGAGGCATTCAAGAGCTGTGGGGTCAGTGAACAATTTCGAGAAAGTTACACCTTGTCAGCAGGCTACCGTGCAAGTGCCCAGCCGCGGCCCTAGCAGAATATCGCAGCAAAAGAAGGCAATCCCAGATTCCAGAGGTGAATGATTCAGGTCCAGAGAGTAAACATCCAGACCAGGATTTTGTTTCAACCAGGTAGTTCAGTATAAAGAATCACAGCAACAGAGTGCACAACTGGATGGTCGAAACAAAATCTTGGTCTGGATTTTTACTTTCTGGACCTGAACTGCCCACCTCTGCCAGGTTCAGTACAATCCACTCAAAGCAGCGAAGCACAGCCCAGAACCAAGGCAGTCTGCTATCACTGGGCTAGATTTCACAACAGCGTGAGCTGACAGAAAACATGAAAGTATTGATAGCAACCCACACGTGTCAGTATGCCAGAGCTTTCAGGGGTTTCATTAGGAACTACATTTAACATGCAGGGTGGTTAATTTTATAGGCATTAGGAAGATGCAGATAGATCCAAGGTCACAGATGGATGACAAGACCCTTCATCTCCCTCATCGAATTGGCGAAATTTGCCATTTAATAAAACATCCACACTTTATTTCATATTAGTTGGATGGAGTGGTTGTATTAATCAGAGGTGTGAACGATTTCCATGGTTACTGGACGTCTGTAGTAGGTGAATATTGAACTCCCAGAACTTCATGAATAGATGGACTTCGTTCATCCCGAGCGGGAAATTCTGGAAAATTCCACACGTACAAAGCAGGGGTGGGGTTCTAACCTCCTGTAACAGTGCTGTGCATACTGCCAGTTTGGATACTATTATAAATACTGTATTTCATTGTTCGCATTGGGCATTGGGCAGCGGGCACTGAGCATTTAATTGTTTACATTGGGGTGACATAATTAATGATCGCATTGGTTGTACATTTAGTTTGGCGTGTGAAGGAGGAATATTTAAGCTTGTTACTATGCATCTGATCTTCAGTGGATACAGAGTGTGTGTGTGTGTGTGTTTGTGTGCTGTGTTCATGAAAGAGAGTGAGTGAGAGAGAGAGAGAGAGAGAGAGAATAAAACCTGTCATTTTCCCCAGTTATGCTGCAGAACTTTTGATTAGTTGTGGGAATGTAGATCTCTTTACACCTGCAAAAAAAAAAAAAGAATTATTCACAGACAACCCAACTCAATGGCATATTTTTAACCTATGCTCTTTCATAATAAAATATTAATGTACCAGTGGCAGAGTTACGATGCCCTGAATGAGCCTCCGACTGGCTAAAATCAGCCAGACATTTTTATTTTTTGATACTTAGATTATTCGGCCTTATTCTAGTGGATACACTGCCAAAAAGCATGACCACGGCATCGAAGGGCTAACGACAGGCCTGCTGCTGTTGGCAGGGTCCGATTCTCTAATCAGAGTCAGCCAGGCTGTTTCTGACATGTAGATTTGTCTGTTATACCTTGAAGGGAGGAAAAAAGATTCATCATCCCTGCAGATCGCGGTGAGCCAGGCTGGATGCCAGGAGACGGACATGCAGGGGGATCTTCTAAGATAACGGCTGTCTGTGAGAGGCTCCCTCGTCAGGCGGCGCAGGCTGAACTTACATCTGTCAGCCTGTCAGTTACTAATGAGTGCCGTTATTTCATGTGTGTAGAGGTATTGACACAGAAACACACACACTGTATATATATGACATACACGCGGAACCTGGCATTAAGTTTAAGTAAAAACTCACAAAAACTATGACTTTCTCAGCCTAATACCAGTGTTGACATATGTATTGCAACAATTTGCCAACAATTGCCAGAAGATTGCTGGTTTGACTCCCATCCTTAGCAGAATAGTCTGCTGTCTGTTGGGCCCTTGAGTTAGACCCTTAACCCCTGAAAATAATAATATATGTGTGTGTGTGTGTGTGTGTGTGTGTGTGTGTGTGTGTGTGTGTGTGTGTCACAAAGACAGGCAAGATGGAGTATGTGGAAAGACACCTTCCAGTACACCTGTACTCATACTCGTGCAAATAGCACGAGAAGCATTGTTTCATTTCATACTCAATCATATCTTTCTTTATTCATTCATTTGTTTGTGCATATATCAATGTCCATTTTCCTGCCTGTGACAAATGAAGTATGTGTATATACAGTATATCTGTTATTTAATGTGAAAATATGAATTGCTTGTCGGAGGTCTGTTATTCAATGCGAGCTGCGTCAGACGAGACCCGGGGAGGGTCGGCTGCATCAGTAGCCCCCCGGATACCCAACGCTTTGGCTGTAGTCAGGGTCTCTCGTCTCACCCAGGCTTAGCGAGCGAGAGGCACCTGGTCAAAAGCGGGGAAAGCAGCCGAAGGCACACAGCCGCGTCAGGTACCAGAGACCCAGGCGGGAAATGACAAGGGGGATTCGCCAAATTACACAACTCGCCGAGATCTGCAGTCTAGGCCGGTCACCTCAAGACGGAAGCCAGCGGTGCGATGTTTGGCTGCTTAAATTGCAACCACTGAAACTGGCGGGACTCACACATAGAGGTGCTGCCTTCTACAGGACAGGAGGACTACCCACATAATGAAATACCTTTAACACCATTTAGTCCCAGACATGTGGAGTTTGTCAGAGTCACCAAGGACAAGGCAGACACTCAGAATCCAGCGCAGCTAATATATTTGATGCAGTTACAATTAGGTAACTGGTATCCTTCCGCGGCCCAGTGAAAAAGCACTGTCCACATGGACACTGATCCGGGGCATCTGGATCTTCTCGGCGCATGTAATTGGGAAATGACCACTGCAGCCAGCCCTGTTTAATGAGCTTCGCAAACTCAATAATGCTATAAATAGGCGTATTAAACAAGTTTAGGACACTGGATGTCAGTTAATGAAACGTGTTACACGGCAAAACCGACAGTGCAGATATGGAAGTGTAAAATCAGATCAGACTACGCCTACGTGCTCTGGTGTCTGTGATTTAATTAGGCGCTAATACCACCTATACTAAAAAATGGAACTTCAGTGGGATTTGGAGGGAAGGTGAGGCCACAGAAGTTAGGGGAGGAAGACTGTAAATTTTATTTTGCTTTCTCCCCCGACGGCCTTTGTCCTGTCATGGGCATCACGCATAAAAGCGCAGATGACCTGGGAGAATTCGTACATCAACCACACTGTTGAATAACGCTTACAAACAATGTCAGGCAAGCCAAGACAGATGTCAATATGTAATCTGCGATGACATTTCATTTATGCTCAACTGGTAAAATTAAATACTCTCTTTGTATTCCCCCGTGAGGGCTTGTAATGACAAAAACAGGCATATACTTCTGTCAGGCTTGGCTTTGAACAGTCTTAAGTGGGACTGTGTCTCTCGGAGTGGAACACAAACAGCGCTAGGAGGGTTGACGTGTTTATCCATGCACTTTTGGTATTAACACAAGGCAGGAGTCAAACACCTTCTCCATCTCTCTCCTTCTCTGCCTTCGCTCCCAAACAAAAAAAGAAAGAGCAACCTCTATATATTTAAATACGTGAAAGAGGAGCAGCAGGCGATAATACTGATCAGACAGAATGTCTAAAAGCTGATCCCTCCACTTGTGTGCTGAAGGAGCCGTGATGAATTTCAGCTGACCTTTGTCCGTTTGACATTCCTGGGGCAGTTTTGTCAGTCACGGGAAGCCCCCCCCATACACACACACGTATATACCAAATGGTTTGACATATCCCTGCAAGCTAAAATGAGTATCTAAGTGTATTAAAATGAAAATATTTGGTATCTATCTAGCTGTAGGCCTTTCTTAGCCCTCGAGCTCAGAGAGCTGTGTTGATTTCCATTCGGCGCCTAATTGTTTTAATGGACACTAAGTCAGCTCACCTGGTGTTTCACTTGTAAATCAGGCACTAATTAAAATGTCCTCTAAAACCTGCACGACTCCAGGCCGTTTTGGTGTAACGCTTGTGTGATTTAGTACTCGTTTAGTTGCCTAAACCATACTGTTCAATTATGCTACTAAAGAACTGATAGCCAACACAGGACCAGTGCTGTGTGTAAAACTGTCTGAACAAAATGTGTATGAATGTGTATGAGATGTGAGCACATTTTCATCATGGCTACTTAATAGCAGTACATTTAGCAGTCCGTATGTAACAGGAAGTAGCTGCCATGCCTATTCCTGCCTCACGCACACACATGTCTTTATTCATATCTTCGTGGGGACCATACATTCATTAGGGCAAAACCCTAATCCCAACAATGATGACCTTAACCCCTGCCCAGCCCTAACCTTAACCATAAGAAAGTCTTTTGGCACTTTTATTTTTTTGATTGCAGTCCCAGATTTTTTATTAAATTTAATTTCCACATTACATTGTGGGGACATCTAGTCCCCACAATGTAATGTGT